ACACCACTAGGAGATTCAAAGTGCCCTACACAACTAGGAGATTCAAAGTGCCCTGCACCACTAGGAGATTCAAATTGCCCTGCACCACTAGGAGATTCAAAGTGCCCAGCACCACTAGGAGATTCAAAGTGCCCAGCACCACTAGGAGATTCAAAGTGCCCAGCACCACTAGGAGATTCAAAGTGCCCAGCACCACTAGGAGATTCAAAGTGCCCAGCACCACTCGGAGATTCAAAGTGCCCTGCACTACTAGGAGATAACCCACAAAATAAAGTTCCTTAAAATTTCGAAGCAACTTTATCTGGTGGAATAAGTAGCATCTACTTCCTCACCATTACTGTTGTGTCTCTGTGCCTTAACCGAACCATTCCAGTCTTCAGTGTGTTTTCACTGAGCAAGACAACAAATGGAATTCCCATTTCATCAAATCTAAAGAAAAAAGAACAGAAAAATTGTTTACATTTAAAGCTGGTAACCAAATTTACATGTATATTCCTCCCCCACATTAACTGTGTGGGTTGGGTCCACTAGAGAATACCTACCCAAACAGTCACTACATATGCAAATTTCCCATGCGTGCACGGCTATTCGCTGAAAAGACTTTATCATCCAAGATGCTCTGTGACCTCCCACTATGCACTGTGGTCTTGCTGCCATGTTCATCCTTTTCAAAAGCGACTAAAAAGTCGTAGCCTGGTGGGGAGGATGGGTGGGAGAGGGCTGTTTGGGTAGGTATTCTCTTGTAGACCCAACCCACACAGTTAATGTGGGGGAGGAGTCTACAACGTTCTACCTATCCAAACAGTCACTATATATGCAGAGTGGCACCATTACTGGTTGGGGGTTGGCTACTGAACATACAATAACTAGACTGATAAGAGCCCATGTAACCACTGGCAGGTAAATATAACAATATCAGTGAGAGATTCTCATGATAAGTGGAGCTAGAACTGAACTCACCCTAATGGGATTCCATGAGCATTGTTGTTCGCCCTTATTGCCGGAGCTTGTGCTGCGGGAAATAGAACCGTCCTGCCATGTAGAGTTGTTATGCAGGATGTCCCTCAGGTAGCAGGATGTGAAAGTAGAGGGAGACTCCCAGCATGCAGCTTTACATATGTCTGCAGTAGGCACACCCCAAAAGTAAGACCATGAGGTACAAACTGCTCTAACGTCGTGAGCCCTGATGTAGTGTTTACCTTGCTCACCAGGTTATGGAGCCAATCTGGATTAGCAAACTTGATGGCTGCGACCATCCAGCGAGCTATCGTGTCTCTTGCTGCTGGGCGATGTGGACTTGTAGAGGTGATGAATAGTTGAGTTGTCGATTTTCTGAGACCTTTAGTTTTGGCTAAGTACCAATTCAGGGTCCGAACTGGACACCAGATTTTATCAGCATTATCCCCAGAGTGTGAGGAAATCATAGGTAAAAAGGGCTTGAAGGAAGGAGTGTGGTTTTTCGTTAGAAAACCGACAGTGGAGATGAGGCAGACTCCGTGAGGCTCCCAGTGCAGATGACTGTCTGCCAACAAGAGAGCTTGTAATTTGCAGCCTCTCCTAAATATAGCTGCCGCTAATAGAAAGGCCAGCTTAGTACTAGCGTGCAGGAGGGTCGCGTTACTCAAGGGTCCGAAGGGAGGACCGGCCAGCATCCAGAGAACCTTGTTCAAGTCCCAAGATGCAACTAATTTCTTCATAGGATGTTCTATGAACATTCCACGAAGTAGGTGGTGCAGTACTGGGTTGCAGGAGATGTCAGAGCCATCCTCAAAACCAATGTGGATAGCAGCCAAGGCTGACCAATAATTAGATAATATAATTAATCGTAGAGACTTGGAGTCCCAACTCAAATAAGTGCAACAGGAAATCGGTGACGGCATTCAGAGGAGCATCGGTTGGAGCCAAAGCCTATTCTTCACACCACCTAGCGAAATGCTGTATTCTGCTATCTTAAATTTTGTGGGTGGATAGACAAGTGGTCGACGAACATGGAGCCTTGACAGCCAGGGGAACCAGGGCTGGCGAGGCCAGAACAGGGGGACTAGGAGTATCCGGCAGTGTTCGCGCTAGATTTTGAAGAGAACCCTTGGGATCAGCGAGATGAGTGGAAAGGCGTACTCTAGAATGCCCGACCAGTCGATCTGCAGGGAGTCCTTGGCTCAGGCTTGGGGGCTCGGAGATCTTGTGCAGAAGGTCGGAAGTTGGGCGTTGGTGGGAGAGGCAAAGAGATCGAAGTATGGCCTGACAACCTCTGGATGGAGAGTCCATTCTGTCGGGAGTATTTTGCTGTGGGAGAGAGAGCGTTTGCTATTGTGTTGTTGGGGCCGGCGATGCGGAAGGCTTACAGGTTGACTGCAGGTCTCCCAGGTAAGAATGCACAACTTGGGGGATCGAGTGCCACCTTGGTGATTGATGTACGCCACAGCTGTAGAATTGTCTGAGTGAACCAGGACATTCTTTCCTTTGACGTATGGTAGGAAGCATAGCAGAAAGTGGAATATCACCTGAAGCTCCAAGACATTGATGTGATTCGCCTGGAAGGCAGGGGGCCCGGTTCCCGAGATCTGGTGAGGAGAGAGGGAGGCCCTCCAGCCGTGAGATGATGCATTGGTTGTTATTACTACGGTCACTTTTGGCCGGAGGAATTGTATACCGGTGATTTAGTGACATTCCTCTAACCACCAACGCAGATGGTGTCGAACGTTGTCTGATAAGGGAACCACGACTGATTAGGTCCCATTTGGGTTGAAAACAGGAGAGCAGATGAAGCTGAAGAGATCTCATGGTAAGTCTGCACTACAGTATCAGGTTGACCATACTTGCCATCAGCCAGAGGAGACGAAGCCATGCAAGGGCTGGAGGAGACTGGGTTGAGCGAAAAAGGGATACGCGCTCTCGGAGGTTGGAGATGTGATTGGCTGTCGGGGTGATAATACCCCTGCGGAGATTGAGTTCTGCACCGAGGTAGGTCGGGGACTGAGATGGAGACAGTCTTGGCTTTTCTCAATTGATGATGAAGCCCAGGTGAGAAGAAAGGTCGTAGGTTAGACGAGTTGATGCTATTGCTTCCTCTAAGGTACAACCTACAATCAGCCAGTTGTCCAGGTACTAGAAGGACAGCATGTCCAGCTGACGTAGATGGGTGGCAACAGTCTTTGCAACCCGGGTGAAGACCCTGAGGCATATCAAAAGACAGAATGATAGGGCTCGAAATTCGTAGACTTGACTCTTGTACGTGAAGCAGAGAAACTTCCTGGATAGGAATGTGAAGATATGTGTCCCAGAGGTTGATTGTCAAAGCCCATGACAGCATTGGGATAGAGCGTATCACTGTCAGTGTATTTCCAAACTGAATTTCTTGAACCGGATGTATTTGTTGAGTGGCTTGAGATTGATTATTGGTTGTCGCTTGTCGGTCCCCTTCTTGGGGATAAGAAAGTAGGTGGAGAAAAAATCGTCTGTCACGCAGTTGGGATGGACGTAACTGATGGCATTTTTCAGGAGCAGGGAGTTTGGCTTCCAGGGCCAAGCATTTGTCGTTCTTTTATGTGGCACCGGGGTTCGACGGGTTTGAGATCAGTGGTCGTGGAACATGAAATGGTGCAATCATTGGGGACGACCCCCGAAGGAACGGGGGTGCACAACAAAGATCCTCTGCTCGACTGCGGCTGGCTGGGCTTGGTTGAAGTGCAGAATGAAGCTCGACATTGGGTCGGTTGTGGGAGCAGAGGACGAAAGGAGTGTGTCCTGGGTGGCAGTGGCTTAGGATTCTGAGACTGACGTGGCCGAGTTTGCCGCAAGGCTGGAGTCAACGGTTCCCGGAAGGAGAGCTTCTCAGTGGTGTCAATACGCTTGGCTTTGGCCTCGAGAGATTCCAAGAACTTGCCGGCAGAGAGGTCCTTGCCGGCAGAGAGGTGGGTGATCTTGAAGTCTAGATTTTACACCTTCATGAGGAATATGCATTGCCTCCAAGCACCAGAGCAGCAAAATCTGGGGACACTGGCGAGTTCTCCTCGCAGACACGTGTAATGTATTCCGAGAGGAGGAGGAAGGCCGAACACCGTTGACCGAGACAGGAATCCTTGTCAAGTTTCACCAAGGCTGTCTTGAGGCGAGAATTGTCACCATCACAGAAGATCAACTTCAGGGGAGGCTTGCCTGAGTCAGCAGTGATTTTGTCCCTAGCTGCATCGGGAATCTCCGGTACCAATAGGAAGTTGTCGTGGTCCTCGGTCAGGAAGTGGTAGTAAGCCAGGGCCCTAGGAGGATAAAGGCACCAGCATGCAACCTTGCTCACTGAATCGAAGATCTTGATGCATTAGCGGTCAAGTGGATTTTCTGGGAAAGTTGGACCCGAAGATTCCAGTCTGGTCCCGTGGCATTTGAAGGAGGCGTGACCGCTGTCCCTTTTGGTGGGAGAGGGAGCCAGGAGGCCGAGGACCTTGATCATATCACATTGAAGGAGATGAAGCCGGCCCTCAGAGGGGATGAGATTGTCCACCAAATCAGTGTCATCTTCTCCCGACAATGTGTCTGCTGCTCAGACTGAAGCAAAGTCATGCCAGGGTCAGATCCATGGGTGCTCCCGTACATGACAGAATGTTCCGGATGAGTTCAATGAGCTCCACGCTCTAAGTAGTCGTCCGTGACTGCAAAGCGGGTTGAGGCTGCAGGAGCCAGGAGCAAAAAGTCCAGGTCCGGAGCGGTGAAAGCTGGTGAGGGTTTGTCGCTCAGGCAGCGGACAAAGGAGGACAGATATTCATTGATAGACTGGAACGCTGTCATCCATGGTTCAGGGGAGCAGTCACGTTGTTTAGAATGATGTTTCTTGTTGGCCTTCGAAGCAACTGATGAAGGAGAAGAAGAACGCTTGCCCTCTGGGCAAACAGGGGGGTGAATACGCATTGGGTAAGGTCGGGGGTTCATCCCCTGGGGGCAGGCGGGAGCTTGGCTGGTACAGATGCCATCTTCTAGGGGCGAGGAAGGTCCTGGTTTTCCAGAGATACCAAGCCGGAAGCCAGAGCCACAGATGGGATGTGGAGGCCGGAAGCCGTGGCGGCATAGTAGCCCAGTAGGCTCCGCAGTGCGCGGTGGGTTCTTGTTAGGTATCCCTCACCGTGGGCTGAGGAGTCATCAGGCGGGCCTGACCAAGTGGAGCATGGGGAGCCCGTCCTAGCACTGTTGGTATGAGGCTGACTAGGTGTTGGGTCATCCGGTACTACCGAGAATGCGGCCTTGTGCGTAGCAAAGCTGCGACGGCCGGCAGCCATTGGGGGCAGCGGGGGAGAGGAGCTCCATTGGTCCGCTAGCTTTTGTGAGCCACAGGCATTTAATCAGCCCACTCGTTGCGTCTTCGATGGTTGGTGGAGGCACTGGCTCAGTTGACTAGGCCGTCTTTGTTGGAGGGCTGAGAGATAGAATGGTTATAA